AAATAAATAGCGGTCTGCTATTAGTCAAATTATACAATAACGTATGGGCTGGTCCCGCTAGCTTAAAGAATAAAACCTTTATAAATATTATGGTTCTGAAATCAAAATCTAATGAAAACAAACGTCGTGGGTCTTGCTAAGACCAAGAAAAAGATTTTAAAACACACACACAGAAAAAAAAAAAAAAAAAAAAAAATAAGAAACCAAGCTGTGGCTGAGCCATCCTCTTGATCACGAAACATATTTGAAAAGGGGTGTAATCCCTCCGTGTCGTACAAAGCCCTCCCTCTCATCATGTGACGTAGGCGGGTGAAACAATGTCATTTCGTATCAGCCAATGCGATTAGATTGTACTTTGGCGGGAACTCGTATCCCCCCGTGTTAAAGAGGGGTCGAAAGACTCGAAAAGACATGGAAAGAATTCAAAATGGCGTCAGTCAAGTTGTTAGAAGAATAAAACAGTTTCAAAATGTGAAAATGGCTAATTCAGCTAACATTACTCAACATAGCCACAAAAGTAAGAGTAAAATGGAAAAAAAGTCATTTGTTAATAAAAGTCGTAATTCTTCAAGCTATCATGCGGCGCCAAAATGATGCTATGATATTTTTTAATGAAATTTTTCCATTCTTGGCACACAGAAAAGGGCGCAAGTTCTTCAGTTGTTTTCCGGCTACGACACTACTTCCACCTAGCTAATCTCTCCTCTCAGGCACTCGGAGAATATTAACGATTTGTCCTTATCTCCAATATTTTTGGCATCATATTTCTTTCCAAATCATAAAATATGTCTGTCAACTGGAATATCATTATTAGAGCCATCAAAGATGGCACACTGAAATTTATCCACATTTACCGCTGCAATTTCCCTTTTTTGTTGATTTTCCATTTTGGTCTTTGAACGCATTTTCTTAACATTAAATTATAATTTTTTTTTTTATAATTTCACTTTAGATAACTGAGTCGATTTTTACCAATATTTAAAAAAATTCTGAAGCACCAACCTTCACTATTGAATCATATTAATAAAATACTGAAATTTCTGGAAAATTTATAAAATGCTCCACATTTTTTCTGAAGAATTTACTTTAAATAACAAACACGTTTTCATATTTTAATCATCACATGAGACACCATACACACCATATTTGAAGATTCACCATATTTGAAGACACCTCATCGCGTAGCCGACGAAAAGCACAGCACAGCAGTTTCCACAATTTTTAAACACTATGCACGTCCTTGACCTTCTTTTACGGTGGAGACACTCTTTCATTTGTTAGCTAAGCACACTGTTTTCTTGTACACTTGGAATTTGTTGAAATCGAAAAACAAACATTCGCACAACACCACTAATCACTTGAAAAACAGCCTGTACACACCCATTGGAGAGAAGCTTCGCTGCACTACCATCCTGTGCAACAAATCACATGTAATATTTCCGGGAACACACAAGAGTAATCAACTTGCAGTCATAGTGGCTGAGAGTGAAGACTTACAGATGAAGATAATAAAACATGAAGAATTTCCAGTCTTTATTTCTATGCATATAAAATCATCTTCATAGATGTTTATCCAATCATAATGAAAAGTTGCTGTTTACATCGATTCATAAAATTAAGAAGCAAGCACTTTTGACGGGGAAGCAAAGTGAGGAGATATTAGCAAGGTGGAAAACGGGAAAAAAGTGACACAGTTTATTTTCAGAGCGGTATTTATACAAGCACATATACAGAGTTAAACTATGATTGGTTAATTTGAAGTTGTTATATAATCATCTAAGATTCTCGAATTTATGAGAAAAGAATGAATTTAGGAGAAGATCATAAAATTGCGGAAAGTTAATTATAGGCTGCTTGTTCGTGCAGAACAAAGCCATTGTATTTTTTTTTATTTTAAATCTTCTCTTGTATGTTCCTGAATATATTATATATATTTATATTTATTGTAGCACTCAGAACAGCAATGTGTTACAGTATTTCTCTTTTCTTCAGTATTTCATTCTCGTTCCCAAACCTATAAACTTAATGTTTAGATTTTGATAGGTTGCGCAGATGTCAAGTCAATGGATTTTCTGTATCTGACTGTAGCAATAAGAATAACTTCCCTCCCCTTACAAAGTTTGAAAACTGATAATAGAACGCAAAAGAAGGCAGGTGTGCCATAAAGATTCTCCCGACTGTGATTAGTGCATATCATTTTTAAGCTAGGGAGTCACTCTGTGGCCATTAAGGCCCATAGGCCCTTGAGTGGTTGTAGGGTAGACAGGGCTGGTGTTACACATTTTGTCACCTGGTGCAATCTCTGTGAATCCTAAATTCTGCTACCTTCTTAAATTTCACTGCTTCCAAATTTTACTGCTCAGTGCCTCTCCACCTAAAGTCTAAAAATTCAGCCATCCCATACTTTTGCTGCTTGTACTACTTTTGCACCAAATTAAAAAATATTTGCCGTCCCTAAATTTTGACATCCAGTTGCGGCTGCACCAGTTATACATGCTCTAGCCCTGTGGTCAGGTTTATACTATTTTCATTAAAAATAACATTAAAAACATGCCAGAAAACTTATAAATGAAGCTAATTACTTTACAATATTACATAAATCTTATTCAAATATGTAAATTTTATTAACTTTTATTCCTACCTGCTAAAAAATAAACAAGCATGGTTGCAAATTTTTGCACTAAGAAGAAATGTTTTATTTGGGAAAACCTTTATATATGATAGCTTTTTTTTAGTGTAGAAAATTAATAAGGAAAAAACCCAAATGACTGATGAGCATCTGCAATCCATGATGAAGTTAATTTCTAGTAATTTCTCTCCAAGGCTATACATTTTATTAAAATCAAAGTGTCAAATCGTAATAATAAATAAATAAGTGTATAATTATTTACATGCAAATAAAAATATTTTTATTATGTGTCACAGAAAAGCGTAGAGAAATATACTAGGCTGTTATTATTAATTCATTTGTCCCATTAGATAAATTTTCTCTGAAGACTAAGAAAATTTTCACAATATGTTTAGTCTAGTTTAAATTTCTTTTATTTACATATGTTAGAATTATTTCAAAGGAATGTCAGCATAAGAATTTAATATTTAGCTGTCAATATATTTGAGTTGAAAAGCATAACAAATGAATTGTGTGTGTGATTATGGCAAAGCCTCGAGGGCTATCTGCCTAAGGGAAGGGATGCCTTCGTGGAGGACTTTCTAAGGGAAACTGGCTTGTATACACGTTACACATGGGGAAAACCACGAAAACGCCCATGGAGCCAGCCCATTTGCGGGATTCGAACCTCGGACCGAATACCAGTGTTCAGCGACTTTACCGCTCGGCCGCTGGTGGGCGCATAACAAATGAAAGTGTCTTACAATTATGAAACTTTAGATTTCAGATAGGAAATAAATATAAATTTGCATTTTTTTCTTTGCTATGATATTATTATTATTGCCTAGATATGTGATGATAAATATTTGGTATGCAAAATTAAAAACTTAGGAAGCACTTCCGCAGAGAACCCGGTAAATGTAAACATCGCCAACTTTGGCGATAATACTTCAAACCTGGTAACCTATCGGATTCATCCTATTTGCTTGTTTGAAGGTTGCAACCATTCCTCTTGAGTTCATTTTGTTGAATTATCACTGTCGTTGTTCGCATTTGGAGATTTATATTCTTCTTCTCTTATTTATTATTATTTTTTCTGATTTTCCACGTTATTTTTTCTGAATTTTTTAACAACGAATAGATAGAAATATTTTCGTATAATTAAAGAAGTTTTCGTCGATAGATGCCGGTTCTCGGCTCCAATTTTTATGGCGTAAAATTTTAACAAGATACTATATTGTTAATGCTTTTTTAATAATAACCTTTCTGAGGATGGCAGGTGTGACATAAATAACTGATTAAATGGAAATAAAAAATATTATTGATTATCTAAGACGACAGAGTAGTTTGATGCATCCCCATGGTCATCAAAATTAGCAAACCACTGTTGGTGTAAGGAATACAGTTCAAATAACTCTTGAAAAATAATAAAATGTATAAAGTTCTAGTTTTATTAACAATGCTACTAAAGAAAATTTGATTATTGTTGAAGGTTATTAGTATTGTGAAATATATCATAAAAAAGACAGGTTTATTTTCGTATATCACGTTTAACCGGTTAGTTTTACAGCTGCATGCTTATTATCTGTGAATTTTTACTACCATATGCTTAATATATTGTTTTGTCTGCTAACTTGAACTTGCATGCATTAAAAATCACGTTTACGGCTCATCGTGGATGAACCGCGAGCTTGGCGAGTAAAAATGCAACGGCGTTAACGGGTTCTCTGCGGATGAAAACCCAAAACTTATTTTAAATCGATTTTGTTAATAAAATGGATAATTTTGCTTTAAAAGAATTTTGCCCAGTCAGCTGCTTTTAAATCACCGGCATCCAGTTTGAGACAGCTGCATTACAGGACTGAAGGTAACAAAATGTTTTTTTTAAAAAAAAAAAAAAACAGTCTCTATTTGACTTCTATACTAATCTCATGCATTGTTAAAATTTATACTAAATTTTCTGTCAAAAATTAGAAGCGCAAAATCAACATTATAATTCGAATCTTAATTTTGCAAGTATACAACAAAAACAAGATAAATTCAAATTTAAGCAATGCTTATAAAACTCGCACAAAAATTCATTTTAACATGGAACGGATAAGTGTGCTATATATCTTCTCGATCGTGCATTTTAGAAGCCCGTAGTAAAAATTACTTTGGTATTCGAGACAATACAGATTCAGATATTAATCGGATAATAAATTCAGTAATTATACGAAACTTAAAATATTACATTTAATCGGAATTATAAACAAAACCCCCTATGTCAACACTTACAGCTTGACAAGAAAGATGACAAATTAAACTACATATCCAGAATTTAATACCGCGAAACAAACATGACACATAATAAAATTACGCAGAATATGATAAGACATTTCAAATTACTCACATCTCTCCATTGTAAATAAGAACTCCCCCATTCGCATGGGCTGTGTTCATTGACATTTTGGAACTTTGTGTTATGCTTCACTGAAATTAAGCAAATTTATAAAATCACATTTACTATAAAAGAAATACCCAGAACGTGACATCTGCTAAATGTGATTGCATCACATAAGTACGAAACGAAATTTCTGCCCGACGGTTCTGGTTAGTACGGAAACTTCCCGAAATATTTCAGACTATCTTTCTTTGTATGAAATAACTATGAATATTTAAATATATCTTATTTAATCGGATTACAAAGTTATATATAAATAGTTATATTTGCTCATATGATATGCAAACAAATTATACTTTTTCTGTTATCAGAAAGGTCATTTTGTAAATGAAGGCTAATTTTTAATTATTTGTATGGGGGAAAATAAGCTGTAACTGTAGCTGTACGAAATCTGTTATAATCCAGCGCAGAAAGACTTAACAGGTGCAAAACAAGACATCTGTCTACTTTGTCCGTCTGTCTATTGTAAACAAAAGCTAACCGATCTGTCAGCTTTATGGAGTAATTAATTATTATTGTGTAAATTGCTCATATTTGTCACATTATAAAACAAAGCATGTTATGAGGGTTATGTGACTTTAGATGATATGATTTTAAAACGATTTCCACCTCTATGTATAATATTTGCTTGCATCGAGATTTGGTTCGCTAGCTATTTTTATTTCATATTTCAGCATTATTTAATGTTTTCTATATATTTAACAGCAATCGTCGTAATAACTGTTGCGATAGGATTTCAGTACATAACCTTTGAACCAGTAGAAGAAGAAATTTCTAGAAATGTTTTATTTAAACCGAATTCTGAACTCCCAGTTTTCGCTCATAGAGGTGGGGGTCATGATGCTCCCGAAAACACAGTTATTGCTATAAGAGAGGTTAGTTATATTTTATGAATGTTATATTTATCAAGATAATAAGTTTGAAATATTTTAAATAGCATCAAAATCTACAACTAAAGTTCATACATTGCTAAGAAAACTTTTGTTACGCATATTTTATGTACGTTGGAAGAAATTAAACTGCCTACTCACTAGGTGTTGTTTCAGTAAACAGATGTATAAGAAATTAAGCTGATATATTTACAGCTTATACACGGTACAACACTTTTATTATTTAGGATTGTTGTAGTTGTATTAATGACACATTTTTTTTTTAGACATTACTAAGACTGATGATAGATCATTCTCTTGTGTCAAGAGAAGAGCTGTGAGTAGGCGCGTGTAACATATTTTCTTTTATCAAAATGATAATAACACCTTTTGATTTCCCTACGAATGAGGATGTCACACCTTATGTGCGCTAACTTTGCAATATTATTTCCTATTATTGTATGCATTATTATTAAAAACAAATAGAAGATCTGCCACTTTTTAAACTCACTGGTTAATAAAATCTGCCACTTATTACAGTCGGATTTACTGTAACCAAAACAAATACTAACCAATTTTTAGAATCAATCTCCACTGCTTATAAACTTCAGGTTAGCCAAAGACTAATTCTTTGCTGCCAGAATATTCTACTTATATCTATGAAAGCTTTTCATAGTTCATCCATTTAATGTATTGTAGATCTTAGCTTTATCAATTAGATATGTAGTGCTTCAGTAAAATGGGTTTGACCTAAAGTTTTCTACTTCCACAGTCTCTACACCCACGAAACATTGTTTTCAGAGTTGCTGGTCTGCTCTGAACTTCAGGACAAAATTTCCATATCTTCAGGTTAAATTTTAAAAAAAAATCTAGAAACATTGTAAATGAGTGAGGTATCTTCTTGAATACCATTTGATGGGAGGTGTCAGTGCACCTTCTGTATTCTTTTACAGTTTTTGCATTGAAAATCTTCCCTTTGGGGTAGACATATTATGCTTGAAGAGAGTTGTAAAGAAAGTTCATGAAATGTTTCATAGCATTACTGTATACAGACAAAAGTCTTTAATCCAGACGTCCATAATCTGAAATAATCTATAATCCGGACTCCAAAGCTACAAACTTTCTGCGCACATGATGTTTAGGCATGCACATTTAATGTATAACAGACGGTATAAGCTAAGCTAAAATTATCTAATTATCTATTTCAGTTAAGGTTGCAGATTGCATTGTTCCTTAATCTTTGAATTGGATCTGGCTTATTATTTTTTGCAGACTGTCAGAGCAATTTTATAAAAGTAAGCTTGAACTTTCGATTATGTCAAAAAGAATTTCCGATTCTGGAGCTGCCAAAGGATCTACAAAGCGAAAGCATGTTTCGAATGTTCCATCAAACAAAAAGTGGAATTGCTGTACAAAAAATGGATAAAGGCATATCCTTTGTTTTTCTAACCATTCCGAAAATCTGTTTATCAATTTCACGCTGCTCTGCGGGGGGGGGGGAGAACGTCGCGGCGCGCAATTGAAACTGGAAGGTTGATCTTGTCAGCACTATATCCTTATCTTCAAGGGCAATATGTTTTTATTTTATTTGGCTTATAATTGCCTTACTAAATTGTAGTATTTCATCTTCGAATGTACTCCGTCTTTGATATGATTTAAATCAAATTCCTCGTCATTATAAATATCAGGAATACACATCAAATAGTTTTCTGGTTGCAATTTTCTAATTTCGACTATGCGTAATGTATGCTTTACGCATGCGCACGTTGAAAGAAATGTTTAATAATGTATATAATACTCTTTATATCATAATTGCTCTTTATTTCATAAATTACGGTTTTATATTTTTAATTTTATAATTTCTGCATGCCATTTTACCAGATTTAAATTGATGATCTATAATCCAGAATCGCCAAAGTCCCGACGAGTCCCGATTAAAGACTTTTGACTGTATTAATAGTCTAGGCACTAGTAACTATAGACTGAAGAAAATGCAAGTAAAGCAATGGTCGTGTTTGTAATTATAAAGTGACACCTAGAATAAAAGCATATAAAGCTAAAATTTCATGTATCTAAAGCTAAATTTGGGCATGACTGTAGAATAATATTTTAAATAAGCCATGCCAGTACACTTTAACAACATGTATTGCTTCTTTGCGTGCCTAGTCTCAAGCATAAATCCGATGATGAATGCACTAATTTAAAACGCATAGTGCATGATATAAGTAAATATGCTGTAGAAAACACCATTTAAAATAGAAAAAATTAAACTTTAATAGTGGCAAAATTAATTAAACTTTAATAGTGTTGAAACTTTAATAGGGGCAACTATTTATTTACAAGGAATACAAAAGTGATTCATGTCACCATGTTTTACAGTCCTTTAATATTGTCGCCAGTATTGTGTACAACCCGTTTCCAACGATGTGGAAGTCTCAGAATACTTGTAGCAGTGCCTGTTTTCTTGATAGTTTGAATGGACCGGTCTACTGCCGCAAGAATCTCAGGAACAGTTTGGAAGCGAGTGCCACGAAGTGGTTCCTTCATCTTAGGAAGTAAGTCATAGTCACAAGGGCTTAGATCTGGGGAGTATGGTATATGGTAAAGCACTTCCCAGCCCCACCGCTTGAACAAATCAGTCACAGCTTGCGCTGCATGCGGCCGAGCATTGTCATGCAAAATGAGAGGAGCGTTCTGAAGAAAGTGTCATCGTTTTTTTCTCAAAGCTGGTCGGAGATTGTGCTCCAAAAATGAGCAGTAATACTGTGCAGTGACGGTCTGCTGTGGGGGAACGGTATGCGTTAGGATGACACCATCACAGTCGTACACGAGAATCATTATAATGTTCACATTGCTGGGGTTCTGACGAAATTTCGAACGTCATGGTGACCCCTGATGAGGCCATTCGTTTGATTGGCGTTTCAGTTCTGGCTGGTACGATCGAGCCCAAGTCTTATCCAGCGTAATAATATGGCGTAAAAAAGCATCTCCTTCGCGCTCCAGGTGTTTTTGGGCAGCATCGTATCGTAGCCATTTCTGCATTTCCGTCAATTGATGTGGAACCCATAGTGAAGCAATTTTTCTCATGGACAGGCGTTCCTTCAGAATGTGCAGCAGTCGTATGCGCTAATCCTGTTTGTCCGGCCAGCTGACGTTTGGCGGCTATCACTGTCCATTAGTGCGGCAACATTTTGCACGTCTGCATCGCTGACACTCGGACGACCTGGCCGCAGCATGTCTGCCACATTTTGGCGTCCTTCATTGAATGCTTTTACCCATCTTGCTACGGTTCTATAAGGCAATGCAGATTCCCCGCAAGCCTCTTGAAGCCCTTGATGACACTGTCGTGCTGTACGACCACTGGCACATTCAATTTTTATCCAACATCGTTGTTCTTGTTTTGAAAACATCCTGGCAACACTTACTTTAGACCACAAGCTAATATAAGGATCCATTCTTTGCGTCACTCCGCATGCCTGTGACGTAGGCAGGATGAGTCTTTTTGCTGAGAGGTAAGGTAGGTATGTAGTTTACGTGTGGTATACGCGATATTCTTTGGTTTTGTTGCGTAGCGTATTTTCAGCTGTGTTGCCACTATTAAAGTTCCAACCCTCGTATATCAAGTAGGTTGTAATGTATTTCTCCCTCCCTACTGTGTGCCATCATTGTGTAATTGGAAAGCTCATCCAGCTAGCATCAGCAGAAGACCCATGCTTTGACTCCTGGTGAGGGCAATGCTTACTTTTCACCTTTCCATGCTTGGAAAACCTGATGACTGCCCAAACTATAAATTTTGGGGAACAATAATTTATCACCACCAGAGGATTTGGGGATTGGATCCTGGCCTTCCCAGTCACCTTTTTAAGTGAAGGAGAATGTAAGGTTCTTCTTCCTCCTTACTGCATTCCTTTGTGTTGTAATTGGGAAGCATGTCAAGGATCAGAAAGTCCAGTGTCTGAGTCTTGACGAGGGCTCTGCACATTTTTCCTGTCTTCAGAAACTTAAAGACACCACAAGATAATTTTTTTTAATGCTTCAAATGCATTAATTTTGTAGTGCAGACTGTGCTCACTTTACAAAATTAATGGAGATGCTGCCACAGTCTACAGTGACTCAAGTGGCAAATTATTAAGTGATATATATAAAAAAGAAATAAAGAAATGCAATAGTGTTTTAGTTAATTGGAACAATATGTAGGTTGCTAGATGGCTGAGCTTGTATCCACAATCAACCAATAATCTGTATATGTATTTGTGCAATAGATAGAACTGTATATATATAGTGTTACGGATTTGGTATTTAAATAGCTAATATTAGTAGACTTATAAATTAAATTGTTTTATTCCCTGTGCAGTGCAGCACGTGACGAAAATTATGAGAAAGTCAAGCTGGAAAAATTAAAAACACAAGAGCACATGCATTTAACATTTAATAAATAAATATCTTTTTTTGATTTTGAGAAAGTGCTAGAAAATTCTCGCGCATTTAAAAAGCTTGCATGAAACCTCTCAGTTCATTGTAGTTAGTTAGTTTGTTGTTGTTGTTTTAAGAGTTTGTTTAGAAAACTGCTCTCGTTGACTGTAGCGAATTCGCGGATTAGCTCTCTCTAGCTGTTTTGAATTAAGTTGTCTTGGAACGTTGAGTAGTTAAAAGATAACTACTGTGACATGTTGTAATACTGAATGAATATCTGAGGAAATTTAAGCATTTTTGTTGTGATAATAATAAATTTTGTCCATTTTTATCGGACTTGTGCATTCAATTCATAACGAACCCGTACGCACGCAACAATATGAATACAGTCAAAAGTCGTTAATTCGAACACCCATAATTCGGAATGATCTATAATCCGGACATCAAAACTAAAAACTTTCTGCGCATGCGCCGCGTTGACACATGCGCAGAGGCGTTCACGCGTGCGCATAAGACCTTTTACGACTGCGCATATGAGTGTGTGCAAGTGCAGAATACGTTTTAGCGTGCGCATTTTATGTATAATGGACGTA